AGCTCCCATTTAGTTTTGTTAAAAGTTGTACTTTCATGAAATATGTATTTGAGAAATTGATAAAAATGATGGATCCGATAAAATATGTGATTAAAATTAATTGTTGTGTTTGACCAAGATTTTTAGCTACATTTTCATCTACGAACTAAGTATTATACTTATATGATTAACTACTTTTTTTATTTCTATTTTAACAAGTGATGTTATACATATGGCTGCAGCGATGATAAATTAATTAAAAACAAAGGTGAAAACTTATTTAGAAAGAAAACATTGCAATCCAATTGGAGAACAGTAACGTATATATATGAACTTTCAAGTGAACTTTGAACAAAGCATTATCTATCTAAAACCAGTACACAATTGCATAACGTCGTTTTCACTGTGTAGGATGAAGAAAGTACTCGTTCTTACAAAGATCGACCGCAATTTTTCGTCTGTAAAGTGACATACTCTCCGCTGACACTGTTTCTATCGAATGCTCTAGAACGAAGCATTCTATATATTTGAGTACAAACATTATGCAATTTGGCCTGTATAAGAAATGCCTGTACGTTAGTTTAATGTGCCATAAACAAGAACTTAACAACGGTATTATATAACATGAATTGAAAAGCTCACCCATTATTCGCACATGGTAGATAAGGTATGATCTCCTGCTTCATTCGTTCCTTGACATGTTTATTTATGTCTCGTCTGGTGGAAAGGGGTGGACACTGCAACAATGCTTGAACCATAGTGTATGTTGCGTTTGTGTGTGCCTTGATTGCATCTGGTGTGTGAACATTATTGCTGCAGTCGTATATCTGGAATTTCTTATCAGGAATGTTGACCATGAAAAGATAACATTCATTGCCTAGATATGAGCTTGGAATTAAAAAGTACTTGCACCCCATCCACGGACGACTATGTAAAGGTAATCTACCAGTGACATAGTCTTGTAGGCGCGTTCTATCCATTTCACCTCTCTGGTTTCCCATTCGAATGTCCATTTTCCACTTCATGTGACGAGAGCACTCCTCTTCGAATTGGAAGTCCAAAATTGCATATTGTTTATTGAGAAGTGTACAACCTTCATTCATA